CACATTGGTGTATGGGTAATGTAGTCTCTGCTCTCGGTGGGACGAATTAGGAAGCGTGCTTGTGAAGGGCGCTCTGTAAAGCGGCAGCGCAGCCAAACGATTATAACAGATGTGCAAATGAGAGTACCGGTACGCTAAAAGCACGTTCTGGGCGCATGGAGAGGTGGCGGTACTCTCAAGAGCTATATTTAGAAGTGGCGGTACTGAGTACCGGCGCGTACCGGCCCACTTAAAGCACTGTTCGTATTTAAATTACTATAAATATCGTGTTGCTCTATACCATGTGAAACAAATGTATCCCTCATGAATGATATCAAGTCATCTTGAGGCACAGACAATATTCCCGTAAGAAAGTAGAAGCCGCAATCAGTTTTTGGCAGTGACTTTTATATAGCCTTTATTTATGCAGTTAAAAAAATCTCGTTGACATTAAAAATGTCTTTTTAAGAGTAATCCGTCCAAGAAGACATCAGAAATATAACAATGACAATAATTCCGTAAACATATTTTAAGTGGACAAAAAGGACCGGGTTGGTTATAATGTAAGTACAATTGTACACGGTAATTAAAAAACAGATCTTTTCATATATTTTATAAGTAACCCCTTTGTAAACCCTGTTCACCGAAGTCTATTTACCAACAAACGTAAAGATATTACACATTAAAAAAGCACACGGAAACATTGGAAATCAGTTTTTCGCATCAAGCGATGTTTGGCACAACACCAGAACTGAGTTTTAGTTCCAGTTTTTCATAAGTGTTTAAAAACGTTTTGGCGTACACAGCTTTAAAAGTACATATTTAGAATATATTCTTGGAAGTTTCATGTCAGAAATAGCTTATTAAAGCATCTTTACAACAAAGTTTCTAATTGGATAGATGCTGATATTGACACGTGCAAAGCAGATCAGCGATACTGGTCCTGTGCCCACATGTTTTTATCAAAATAAAAGTTACACAGTATTGCTGTAAATGAGAATACTCCTATAGCTGGGTCATAATGAATGCATCATATTTCTGATGATGTTTGTATATTTTGTGCTTAATTCCTTAATATTATAAACACTGTTTGTCCTGCAGTGAAACACTCACTGAAGTATTTTGTCTGTGGATCTTCTGGACTCCCAAATGTTCCGGAGTTTATTGCTGTAATGGTGTTTGACGGCATTCAGACAGGTTATTGTGACAGCAGCAATAAGACATTAAAACCACAACTGGACTGGGCAAAGAAAATATTACAAACTAATCCTGAGCAGCTGGAGTGGTACACTCAGAAGTGTTTCGAGGACCAGCCAAATGTCTTCAGAGGCCAAATTTTTAGATGGAAGCAGCGTTTCAACCAAAGTGGAGGTGCAGTATTTTCTGTTACGCCTGATCTCAAATCCTGATAAATCATATACTTGATCAATACTGAGTGGTTTAAAATGTGCATTTTGCAATACTTTATCTATTAAACATAAGTAGGTTCGTTTTTGCTTTAAAATTTTGAATATACTAAGTTTTTCTGCTTTTTAGTGTTTGCAAGAGATGAAATATTTATCAGACGACTCCTGCATTGAATCAGTTTTTGACACTTGAATAATATAAAACACATTACGTTATTATTAAAACACTGACAGACTCAGAGTTATGTTCAAGACCTGAATAAGGAACATTACATAAACCTCTGAAAATAACCGCACACAGTTTACACTCTTCATCGTCCTTTGCCATCTCTGTTATTTTTCTCTCAGGTGTTCACATCATACAGAGAATAAGTGGATGTGAATGGGATGAAAACACTGACAGTGTGACCGGAGTGTTGAAGTATGGCTATAATGGAGAAGGCTTTCTTGAATTTGACATGAAGACACTGACGTGGATCGCACTGAAACCAGAGGCTGACATGATCAAACTGAAATGGGATGCTGATCGGATCAGAACAATAAAGAACAAAGACTTTCTCACTAAGATCTGTGCAGAGTGGCTGAAGATGTATGTGGACAATGGGAAAAGATCCCTGCACAGGACAGGTAGAATTGCACAAGTCACAGTTCCATAGAATCACTTTGTTTATTTTTTATTATTATATTTATTATTATTATTACTATTATTTTTTTTTTTTTAAAGCAGAATATTTAGGCTGAGTTTTATTTACTGATTCAGAAGGTAACTCTAAAGGCTGGAATCACACAAAGCTAAGCTGCAACAACATTTTATTGATAATTGCAGTTCAACATTTTCATCAGTAACATCTTCAAACAAGATTTATAAATGACAGAAAAAACTCGAAATTTCCTAATCAGTCCTGCTAGCGAAGTTATGAAAAATAAGCAAACAAGTCCAGGTGACCGCCTTCTGCACTGGGAATAAGAAGAGAAAGATGAGCTCACCAGTGTTTCCAACTGCCTTCAGTACGGAGGAATGCAAAAATTTACAATTTAATTTTGGTAAATTTGAGTGCAAAGTTGAAAAGTTCACTTTTTGCTCAAAAATGTAAAAAAATATAATGCCATGCACCTTTATAGTTATACATTAAATCCATGGACACCTGCTATAGCAGCTTTATCCTTTTTTCTACACACTTGTACATTCATAATAGATAATTGGTTATTTGCACGAGCAGAGATTCAAAGCAGAGAGGATTAAAACCCAAACACTAAAGAGAAGTGAACTAATAAAACATCCATCCATCCATTCGCTTCCGCTTGTCCTTTTCAGGGTCGCGGGGGACGCTGGAGCCTATCCCAGCTGTCATTGGGCGAGAGGCAGGGTACACCCTGGACAGGTCGCCAGTCTGTCGCAGGGCTAACACATAGGGACAGACAACCATTCACACTCACATTCACTCGCACATTCATACCTAGTGGCAATTTGGATTATCCAATTAACCTATCCCCACAAGTTGCATGTCTTTGGACGGTGGGAGGAAGCCGGAGTACCCGGAGAGAACCCACGCAAACACGGGGAGAACATGCAAACTCCACACAGAAAGACCCCGGCCTGATGGTGGAATTGAACTCAGGACCTTCTTGCTGTGCGGCAACAGTGCTAACCACCGTGCCACCGTGCTGCCCTAATAAAACATGAGCTTTGAAAATTGATAAGAACAAGCAGTGTAACTTAGCAAAGTCCACACAGGTGCTGACAATTGTCAGAAGAAGAGACAAACCTGTCTCATCTCTCCTCCTCTCCTATGCTTTGAACTTAGACATCCTTGTACTGAGATGGATTTCTAGTTTGCAGGCAGGACAAAGAGGCACAAGTTAGAGAAATGAACAAACCCTCAAGAACAGTAATTTTCAAAATAAAACAGGAAGTGAAAACAAGGAATACAAGGATGCCAGCACATAGACAAACTGCAGCTATAACAAATACTGTGGATATACAGACAGATAGCTATTTCATTTTGCATTGTATTTATTTTGTAAGTATTTTTTTTTAACTTGCATAATGCATAACAACAATTTTTAACAACTGGGTTTTAGGCTTCTTTGCCCTTGCTTTTGTAAACCAAAGAAACACAGAAACATTTCTGTGACCGAATTTACATTTTTTTAAATGATTACTTTTTACTTTTACGTTAGTAAAAAAATACAGTCAACAGGTGATTTTGCATAATGTAATAACATCTTTCATGGAGTTGTTCCATAGCTCATCTGTGTTTTCCAGGCAGTTCTAATGGTTGTTGCTAATTCACCAACCCCCCCCCCCCCTTTTTTTTTTAGCTTCACGCGCTGGTGAGAACTTTATATGAATGTTGTATGTTTTGGTTGAAATAAAATATTTACATGAGCGGAACTAATGATTCTTTTTATTTAGTACTTTCTCTAGTTGAGCATTTAGCTTTATGTGGTACCCAGTGACCATATATCACTGTGTTTGGTTACATTTGGCTTAAAAGTATGTCATAATGCAGCTGCTAGAAAGCTGGAGACGGGCTTGAATGGCTTGCCTTATATGTTACAATATGTTCCTATTTAATTTTCTTGTCTTGTTTCCTTTCCTTCTCTGCTTTATTGACTTTACTTCTTTCATCCATTCTCAATCTCTCTCTTTCCCATCATCCCTCTGTCCAGTTCTTCCCTCAGTATCGCTCCTCCAGAAAACTCCCTCCTCTCCAGTCAGCTGCTACGCTGCAGGTTTCTATCTTGACAAAGCCGTGATGTTCTGGAGAAAAGATGGAGATGAGATTCATGATGGTGTGGAAAAAGGAGATATCCTCCCAAACGATGATGGCACCTTCCAAATTATTGTTGATCTGAATATTTCATCAGTCAAACCTGAAGACTGGTGGAGATACGAGTGTGTGTTTCAGTTCTTGAGTGGTGAGAACATCATCGTCACCAAACTGAAGCAAATAATGATCAGAACCAACTGGAGAGAAAACATACTTAGGACTGGCAGAGGTGAGTGAAGCTCATTTGATTCATTTGCTGATATTGTGGATTGGCTAACGTGATGCTTGAATGTTTTGTCCTGAAGAATAGCCATTACTATGGGAATAACTAATGGGGGTCATCACAGAAGGAAAAAAAAAAGTTATTTTAATATTTTTTCACTGGTTAAATGCAATCCATTACTGCTCTTAACCTTCTTAAGAAAATATTTTTCAGAATTTGTTTAGACCATGTAAATGACAGTGATTTTTGGAATTTTATATTTCAATTTTTTCCCAAAATGTCTATTTTTTATTATAATTTATAATAAAAAAATGTCTATAATCCACAAATACGGATTTGGGTATATAATGACTGGGTATTGTGTTAGAAACAAAGGTACAACAAAGGTATGCAACATTGCTGACTCTGAATTCAGAAACACCTCGACTTCACCTAACACCTAACTTCAGAGCTGGGCCCTAATGTATGGCCCCGACTTTGGAACACAGGGCATGCTGCATGTGGGATTGTTTTTTTGTTTTTCAGTTTCAGAGAGGCGACCTACATCATGTAAGTACGACTTCATTGTTTGTTATTTGTATTTTCCGCTTTGGTCTGACAGTTTGGATTTAAAACATTATTTGTGTAACCGATATATTTTTTTCTTTGGCTTTAACAGCTCCTGACAACAATGTTGAACAGATTCAACTGAATCAGGTTAAATAGACAAACGCAGGACTCTGCACTCTCCAGTTAAATAAGAATAAAGTTGTTTTTTTTTAATTTTGTTATATGAACTTGACTTTTGTTTACTTTTTAATTGTTTTATTTAAAAAAAAGAAGTTCAAATGTTTACAATACATTTAGGCATTTTCATTTTTGTCTACGAGTCTCTGTATCATTACAGCTAAAACTGTTTTGTTCTGTTCCAAGCTTTTGTAGGGACAACAAATTTGTTAGAGTGGTGCTGTCTTTCTATTTCTGTTTCTTTAGAACCGCTTCATTTTCTATTGATTGTTGTGTTTTAAATGTGAGATTCTGTGTCATGTGATACCAGTGATATGTTTCTCAGAAGATTTTGATTTATCAAAACTGTTAAAGCTGCTCTCTATGTTTGAGTGCAGTCAGTGAAAAGAAATCCACAAAAAGAGATTTTTGTGTGTAGTTTCATATATTGTCCTCTGTTTTTATTATATTTGATTTAAGTTTTGTTATTAAATATGTTTTGTCATATTAAAGTTATCCGTTTAAGCTTCAGTCTGTTTAACTTTCTGGACGTTTTGTTTGTTTGAATGTTTGTTTGTGTTTCATGGAAAAAAGAAAAAAAGAATCTCATATTTTATTTAGATTTTTTGGAATTGATTTTCTCAGCTACATAAACAGGATCTATCTTATGTATTATAATTATTGATGTCAAAATAAAATCAAAATAAGTAAAGTCCAACAGAGGGAAGAGTGTGCCGTTCTTACAATTATAGATGATTTATTTTCTCAAACTTCTCAAGAAGCGGCAACAACATCTGTAAATTATGGAGACTGCAATGTGTCATTCATTCTGTTGGTCCCTAATGTGCATACTGGGGTAATATTTAGGAAGAAAAGTGAAAAATAAAATCAATTAATAGAAAACGAAATACTATATTTACAAGGTCACACAATATTAGAATATCAGTTACTCAATATGCCAATAATTTTTCAAAGACAAAAATTATAATCCAGTTGGCTGGAAACAAATATTAATAAATAACATGATTAATAATTATTACATAAATTATACAGTGAATAAAAAAATAAATGAAAGAACTAGTTGCCTTCGTTTGATAGAGCTGCATGTTAAACGTACGGAAAGAGTTCAGGGCTACCGGCAGAGCCCGCGGGCACGTCGCTGCAGCCCCCTCTGGCTTCAGCTCCGTGGCTGCTCTGTGACCCCACGTCTGGGGCTCTCCTCAGTTCTTTCCAGGAGGGTGGCACAGTGGTCCTCCTTGGGCACTTGTGCTGTGGGGGCCTCTGGATGTCTGGGGCCTGAATCTCCTCATGCCTGCTTCATGCCCTGGGAGACGGAGCTGTGTCCTGCGTGCAATAATATTCAATATTTAAGTATTTACTGTTACATTTATTTAGGTTATTGCAACAATATTGTGTGTATTGTGTTGTTCTATTTTCGGTTGTTTTCTCTTTCTTTTTCCTCTCTCAACACTGTCCCTCTCTCCCTCTGTTTTTTTCCCTCCCTCTCTTTCTTTCTTTCTCCCTTTCCTATCCCCCAGTCGTGTCTTTCCTGTCTGTAATATTTTAATTAATATTCATTTAAAAAAAGAGTTCAGGGTTTAGTTCTGTACATCACTGAAGCACATTTGTTTGTTTACCCAAGACCCAGAAAAAACACAACTCTCAGTAGGTCCTCATGCAGTGAACAGTCCCACTGAGGGAACTATGATTATACTTCATTCTTTATTAATATTTTTATTAAGCTGTTAAAATTATATTTCAGTCTTTCAGAGGACTGAAACTTTGGACAGATGACAGGATATTGATATAGTTTTCTTGGTCTGAAAGTTTAAAAGACAAATAGATGATAAATTGATTTATATCATTTTTTATTTCCATGTAAGAAAACAGGATCAATGTTTCAGCTTTAACAGCAGTTTGAGCTGATCTTGAGCACAGTTTTTACTTCATTTTACTTTAATAGGTACGGATGCAGGACGAGGAGATGAAGGGAAGCGCAAGTAAAACCTTAACAAAACGTTTTCACAACACTAAAACATAAAATACCATTGATCAACTCTAAATAAAATCCAAACAGTTAAGAAAACAAGAAAACAAACAAGAAAACACCTAAAAGAAAAAATATAAAAGAAAAAATGTAAAAAAAAAAAAAAAAAAGAATTTGTTGTACTTCAGCTTTTTGTCCTCCTTTCCATTTCTTAAAAAAATGGCATCTTGATCGTCACCTTTCCATACGAACCTCTTCTGAAGTTCAAAATTTCAGTTTATTCAGTGCTTAGTGAACATATCACTGTATGTTTATGATTACATTTAGCTTAATGTTTCTCACAATACAGTCTTTAATCTCCTGTCTTACAAAATAACATACAGGAGAAATATATACAAACAAGAGAAATATATGCATAACAACAGAAGGTACAAATACATGCAAGAATATGGACTGCACAGCAATACAGCAATACCAATGCTTCATAAAGACCTGTAGATAACTTAGAGGATCTATTCAAGCTTAGTGCATCATTACAACACAAATGTAAACACACACACATATGTGTGCACATTACTGTTCTAAACTGAGCCCGTCACTGTTCACCTGTTGAGCTAAATGTCGTCACTGTCTGGTTTCCCAAAATGAAAAAACAAGATCAATTTGTTGTTTCCTCACTGTCAGTAAGCTGGAACCCTGAAATATAGATGAGTGATTCAGAATAATGAAAATAAAAATATTTTCTAGGACTCTCATGTTATATGAGTACATACAATTATGAAGTTAAGTGGAAAAATCAGCTGCATCTCACCATGACTGTTTCTTTTCCAGATAAAGAATCCAAAGATTGCCAGGAGGAGTGAAACTCCAACAGCAGCTCCAACAACAGGACCCACAGGAAACTCTGAGAGAGAAACCGAAAAGTCCCACAATGTGGCTTCATTCACACAATTAACAAAGGAGCTTCCAATCTCAATGCCTCAGTTCTGAGAGTTCTTATTGGATAAAATACTGTCAATCTTTTTTTTCTTCTGTTAGTTGATTGGTTTGTTATTCGCAGGGTGCAAATGAGATGGTGTAATGTGAATCTAGGAAAGAACAAGTCTAAAAATATACTTTGACAACTCAGGGGGTAAAAGAAAAAAAAATCAGGCTTTGTAAACAGCCACACAGCTCCACACTCCTGTTCCTCTTTCTCCCTAAAGCCTAACCCAAACAACATTTTATTGTTGTAACATTCATCTGTGATAATCCAGCAGTATTTGAAGGATACATAAATTAAATAGGAGTTGTTTTGAACTATGAATCATGTAAAGCTACTCTAGCAGGTTTGTAGAATAAAACAAAATCCAGCTGGAAATGAGTACAAGAGTTCAACTTTGACATATCCGGCTACGTGACATATAAAGAAGACAAAGACACCATAGCTACAGTATTTTAACAGCAATAACATGACTTCTGAGCCTGTCTTACCACTGTTGGTTTGGATCACTTTTTTTTCCAGTTTGGTGATGATGTCTGTCTCTGCACCGGCGAACTGATACACACAGTCGTACCTGCTCCAGTCCTCTGGCTTGATTGATGAAAGATTCAGCTGAACACTCATCTGGAAGCTGCCGTCATGGTTGGGGAGGATCTGTCCTTTGTCCACACCATCATGAAACTCCTCTTCATCCTTCCTCCAGAACATTCTTGCTCTGTGAGGATAGAAACCTGTAGCGTGGCAGCTGACTACAGATGAAGGACTCCTCTGGAGGAGAGAAACTGAGGGAAGAACTGTAAAGCAAATGAGTCTTAACTGAGACAGATGTTTTGAACAGATGTCATGGGATATTTTTTTCATTTTCACTGGAATGTTATTGTGGATTAGAGATACAATGGGTACATAACATATGTCTGCACAGACTAAGAAATATAATCCTACCTGATCTCTGCAGAAAGCTTCTCCCATATTTCACATACTTCTTCAGCCAGTCGGGGCACCTGTTGATGTAGTAGTTCTTGTTGTGTTCTAATCGAGCTTTTTCAGCATCCCATTTCAGTTTTGTAATGACAGCCTGTGGTTTGGGAGCGATCCATGTTAGTGTTTGCAGGTCCAATGCTATGAAGTCCTCACCATTGTAACCGTACTGATTAAAACCTTTAATTTCTTCAGTCTCATCATCCCATTCACAGCCATTCATCCTCTGTAAGATGCAAGGACCTATAAGAAGAGATTGAAACAGAGCCAAATGTCATAAGTTGATTATCATAGGTGGATTAAATTAGTTTTTGACTAATATAATCATTACAATATACATATATCAGGCAGGAGAACAATAAAGAAAATGCTGAGCAGTTCTAGACTACATGGGACACTGTGAGGTTGTCACAGACACTTAGATGGAGATTTTAGTTAATGGCAAAGGCGTAGACAGAATCAGAGCCACTCTTGGGCAAGAATGGCATTGCATAATGTAAATCCATACATCAGTAAATAATCTAATAAAACTACCAGAACTTCTCCATGAATATCTAAACAAAAAAGATGTTTTGTTATTTGGACTTGGACAGATTTGAGATAAACAAAACATAACAAAAAAAAGTCATATCTCCTGTGATTTATTTTATTTTTCTTCAAAAATGTGTTCATGAATGCATGCATGTGTTTGCATGTGGTTACACTGACTACTACATTGTACTACACCAAAGTGACAAAACACCTGAGAGAAACATGTCTGCTAAGTCATAAAATAATGACAGCAAGATAAAGTTAAACATGGACGTACACATAGAATATATATGTCATTATCTTTTTACCTCTAGTCTGGTTTAACCGTTGCTTCAAGCTATCAATGTTGGCTCTGAAGACCTGCTGATTTCCGAAACACTTCTCAGAATACCAGTCCAGGTGCTGAGGGTCGTCTTTTACTAGTTTTTTCATCCAGTCCTGTGTGGGCTCGGCTGTCCTGATGTTGCTGTCACAGTAACCCACCTGAACTCCATTAACCAAAGCAGAAGCCACAAACTCTGGGAAGTCTGGGAGTCCAGACGTGGCAGTAAGGAAATATTTCAGGGAGTATTTCACTGTGAGGAGAGAAATTTTTAAGTTTCGAGATACATTTTAGAAGTGTTTTTAAAGCTGTTTTATCACAGTGGATTACTAAAGAACATGTTATAAACCTAATATTTTTGTCATTTTTACTCATGTAAAATAAAGATTGTACATTAACAGAGAGAATCAAATGCAAGGGAAAAATAGTATTTGTTATTTACGCCATTTTCCACTTAGACAATGTTTTATGAGACAGCAAAAATTGTTCATTAGTTACATACCATACTTATGCACAGTTACAGTATTTTTCCATGAGTTCACTCTCTCAGTGAGGACCTGTATGTTCATTTCACCCTTTATTTCTTTTCAGTTCTTCTTCTTATTTACTCCAATCCAACATTATTTTTAGACCACTTTAAAAACAACATGGCTGACTGAAGTACTTTCCAGTGAAAAACAGTGATAAAAGTTTAAAAAAAAACATACATTAAACACACAAAGAAAATTAAATAACAATAAAATAAATAAATACGTGAAAAAAGATTTTAAAAAATGAATAAATAACTTGTAAAACATGAATAAAATAAATAGATATTAAAATATGAAATAAATAAAATTAACAAAGTAAAGAAGATTAAAAGTAACCAAAAACTGACTAAGACTTCAAACTCTGGTACTACGCCTAGAACGCCTTGGCAAAAGAGTTTGTTTTTAAAAGTGATTTAAAAATTGCAAGTGTTGGGTCCACCCTAATATGGAGGCGCAACTTATTCCATCATTTGCAAGCTACAACAGCAAAAGCTCGGTCCCCCTGGCGTTTCAGTCTCAACATGGGAACAACAAGGAGTGAATGGTTTATTGATTTATTGATAATATTGTCTTGTAATTTGGTTAATCTTGTATAATTTCTGTTTTATTAGATTAATTTCAAATTTCAGCTCTGTCATTGCCATATTTCACGTGTACATTGAAAATAATAGGTAATAGATATAAATATAAAAATAGTATTTTATAAATAAATAAATAATAGAAATAAATAAACAAATGAACACACACAAACAAGAGAAGTCTATAGAGCTATGTTTGGCACAACAGTGCATTCAGATGATAATTCTGCAAAAGGGGGGAAAGATTTTTTATTTAAATTTAATTTAATTAATCTGATTTGCCTCTAAGATAAACGCAACATTTTGAAAGCAAAGTAACTTTAAAACACTCGCTTTAAAAGTGAAAGTAAAACTTCCACAGCTTGTTGCTACACAGGATAGTAACCAAATACAGACAATGTAATCAAATCAAACAACCCTTCCAACAATCCCTTCAGAAAGTAACAGTAAGAGTTACGATGTGATCTTGCCTGAAGACGCAGTGTTACAGAAGAGGAGCAGTGCAAGCAACTTCATTTTGTTCTGGAAATCCTGGAGCTCAAACCTTTGTCAGCAGATTTGAAACATGCTTCGTCCTCAACCTGTGGAATGTGGGCGTGTCAGACTGAAGTCTCACTGTCCTCATGAGGAAGCTACCACTACATCAACTATCACAACCAAAGTTCCCACGCATTTAAATAGAAATATCTAATCACAAACTGTTGAAACAAAAGACTATTCAGTCAAAACCGTTTCAGCTATCAGAGTTGTAGTGTATATACGTATAAGGTATACTTTCTGATACACGGTGTATTGGCGAGACAGAGCAATTATGAAGATTTAATCAGATATTTATGCATCCACATAATTTAATTTTTGTTTTATAATTCAATTTTTGTATTTAATGTCTTGCATTACCCTCAATTTAGACAGAACTTATTTTCAGGATTGATGTGTGTTGTTTTCAAATGAGCCTAAACTCACACAACAGAGGTTTAGAACAGAGACAAACACAGTCAGCAACAGAGCAAAGGATAAAAGTCTGCTTCTTTTATTTCGTTGTGCATGTTATCTCTGTGTATAATAATTAAGTTCTTATCAAAATAAAGGTTCAAAAATATTTAAACAATCATGTGCAACTCTCTATGCAGGGCACAGTACCATATATGTTTACATCATATTGAATAAATAGCTGGTTAGAAGGAAACAGACCTTGTAAAAACTCTGAACATGTACCAAAAAACACAGAAAACAAAAATGGATTTTAACTCTTCTCACACACTTAATACGCTTATTAAATAATTTAAAAAAATATATCATTATCAATATCATCACCCAGATGTTAGTGAAGTCACATCCTTGCAGCTTCAAATGTAGCATTTTGGCCATTGCTGATTGAGGAGTGGACAGAGAAATGAGGCACTTTATGCTAACTACACAATTTAGGCCCATCCTAAAGCATACCCTAGTTTCTGAACGAGCGTCATGTTGTAACACTTGAAATTAGTGACTGAGATTATAAACTCATCAGGAAACTGTTTACTGAGATCAAAATGTAAAGCAGCTGTTTGGCTGTCCTCCATACAGGCAGATAACACTGGTTTAACGCTTTGCATTTGCATTGTTCTTCAAACCTGAAAGCTGCATCTTTCTATGCATACTGTATGTTCAGCTAATGAAAGCTGGTGGGTCATCAGCACTCTCCAAATGAAAATATTTCCCTTTCTGGGAAAATGTGATGAAACTCAGTGTTCTTCTCACCGTCACTGCTCCCCTGCTAAGACAAACAGAGAACAGAAAATGAAATGTCTCCTGTTACAGTAAACAGAGTATCAGTTACTAACAAAGTAAAAACAAGTTGCGGCATTTTATTAATATTACTCACTGTTTGTAAGCTCGAACCCTGAAATACAGGCAGAATAATGAAAAACAAAATGATTAACATGACAGAGTTTAGCAGAGCCAAATTATCAAATAACTCACTAAAAATATCACCAAAAATATCATGTAAGTACATATAACTACAACATGCACAAATTCCAAATTCATTATTGGAGTAAAATCTGCTGTAATCTCACCATTGTTGTTTCTTCTCCAGATGAAGAAACCAAAGACTGCCAGGAGGAGTAAAACTCCTCCAACACCTCCAACAACAGGACCAACAGGAAACACTGAGGGAGAAACTGAAAAGGTCCAAAATGTAAGATCATTCACACTGCTGCCAAACCAAGCTGCTGTTTCCAGTGTTAATGCATCACTTCTGAACATTGTATGTGGTTAAGAACAACATTTTCTTCTTCAATGGTGTGGTTCATGAGATCTGTAGTGGCCAGATCTCAGTTTGGATCATAAAGAAAAAAAAATTGTGTTTAGGATGGTTTACAATGTAAAAGCAGAAACTGTAAATACTGCTTCAGCCTGATTTAATTATGCATTTTTGGCTTTTTTGTTATCAAACTTCTCCTTAGCACCATTCTTCTATACATGGTTATAGGATGAAGTTGTACAATATTTGGTGTTTATTATATTGGTTCATGCCTACGATCAGATTTGGCACATTTGAGGAACTTTAGCAGATTAAACTCCCTTTCATCCTAATTAATGTCTCCATTGTTTCCTCTGACACTGTGCAAAATATTTTACATTACATATAGTTGTAATTTCTTGACATTAAAATGACATCACTAATGAATTTCTGTTGACTCAAGAATTTCATGCAGACATTTGTTTCAGAGTTTGTTTGTTTTTTAAATATGATGGTGTTGTAAACTTTGAGATACAGAAGTTAATTCCTGAGCCTTTCTCACCCCAGTTTGTCCGGATCGCTGTCTTGTCCAGTTTGGTGATGATGTCTTCCTTAACATCAGAGAGCTGAAACACACAGTCGTACCTCCTCCAGTCCTCTGGCTTGATGGATGAAACATTCAGCTCAACGCTCATCTGGAAGCTCCCGTCGTGGTTGGGAAGGATCTCTCCATGTTCCACACCCTCATGAATTTCCTCTTCACCTCTCCGCCAGAACATCATGGCTCTCTCTGGGTAGAAACCTGTAGCATGGCAGCTGACTAGAGAGGAGGGAGTCCTCTGCAGGAGAGAAACTGAGGGAAGAACTGGGAAAAGATAAAAACAAAATAGGGAGAGAGGCTTTATCTGGGACAGCTGATAGTCATTGATGAAATGCTTGTCTATGCACTGGTTCATTTTCCTTGAAATGGTGCTGTAGAATAGAAACAGAAAGAGAAGTTTTTGCAACGAAATATAATAGCATATGTAATTCTACCTGTTCTCTGCAGAAAGCTCCTCCCATATTTCACATACTTCTTCAGCCAGTCGGGGCACCTGTTGATGTAGTAGTTCTTGTTGTGCTCTAATCTGGGTTTTTCAGTATCCCACTGCAGTTTCGTGACGACAGCCTGTGGCTTAGGAGCAATCCATGTTAGTGTCTGCAGGTCCAACGCTATGAAGTCTTCCCCATCATAACCATACTGATTAAAGCCTGTGATTTTATCAGTCTCATCGTCCCATTCACAGCCATTCATCCTCTGAAAAATGTGAACACCTGACAGGGAGAGAGAGAGAATGCAGAGCCAGTAAAGTTGTGGATGGTTAAAGATGATCAGAAAGGTAAATCCTGCTGCGAGTCGTCAATATTTATCATCAAAACAACACCCGCATCATAAGAGGAAAAGAAATTCTCATCTTTATTATTCTTGTCCTTGGAAGTAACCATTCACTTCAGCTACTGTTGATGTACACAGTGACAGTGACCTTGTATATAGCAGATATTTTTCTTGCCATCCCTCTAACAGAGCAAATTAAATTAGGTCAGTAATTTATTCTGGTCACTAGAACAGAGTAAATATCTTACTTGTAATTTTACTTATGTGGTAGACTGAGTGTTTTAGGTGTGTAAATGAAAACCTCCAAATAAAATGAAATAAATTATGATGGGAGGATGTAAGTCTCGCTGTGTGTGTGAATGAAAAGAGCAACATTTTAGGTAAAGGGTGATATTAGTGTACCTGCAGTTTGGTTTAAGCGCTTCTTCAAACTATTAATATTGGCTCTGAAGACCTGCTGATTCCCAGAGCACTTCTGCGTGTACCACTCCAAGTGCTGAGGATCTTTTTTTATTAACTCCTGCATCCAGTCCAGTTTGGGTTCAGCTCTCCTGAGGCTGCTGTCGCAGTAGCCCACTAAAACCCCATCAACTAAAGCCGCACCAACAAATTCTGGGAAGTCTGAGATCCCAGAGGAAGCAGTGATGAAATATTTCAGGGAGTGTTTCACTGTTGAGGAAAACATGTCAGCCATTAGAGCACAAATGGAAGGATGAATTTATTTATAATGGAATTTTACTAATAATTCAGTATTTATTGCTCTTAAAAAATTCCTTCTCGTGAATTTTAATTTAATTTCATCTTAAGTCAAATCTATCATATCTGTATTATATACTTCTATCTCCTTTTATATAGGACGGTCTCAGGTTAAACTAGCAGATTGTCGCTTTGTTGGCTACGCTGCCCCCCAGTGTTTAAATATGGTATAATAACAAATGATGTACTAATATTGTCATTTAAACTCAATAGTAGTAGCAGCCGTATCACCAGAAGGAGTAGTAGTACTATTTGTTGCTGATATACAACTAATTTAGTTACATTAATGGGAACTGCGTGTGACGATATCAACGGGTTGACAATGTCAGCAGTTCTTCCTCGTGATAACTGCGGATTAAATATCAATAATATTAACTAAATTAGGAGGAGATGTTTCAGCAGTGCATTTATGAGCTATTCCTAACTTCCTCCTACGTGTAAATAATTGTAATTTAGGAGATGATAAAATTAAAGACGAAAGTAAAACTAAAAACGCAGCATCAGAGTACCGTTATACAGGAAGAAAGGACAATAACAACTGTTGCAGCACAGACGTGCTTTACAGAAATAAAAAGGGATAATTTTACCTGCAGATGAAACGTGACAGGAGAGGAGAAAAAGACACAGGCTGTTCATCCTGTTTGTAAATAAGACGGGTCCTAAAATAGGCCGCTGATAAGAAATGTGAAGAGAGAAACTGGGGGTGTGAAAGCGTCTCTGACCAATAACGTCACATTTAGATGCTGGCAGAACACACCGGCCGACCAGTCATAACGTATCGTGCGAGTGCGAAAGTGAAGCACTGCATAATAAGCTGGGGGGGGGTTTCTGGGGTTTTTTTCTTTTAGGATTCAGCAGTTGAGCTTTTCTGCCAATTTTACCACATCTGCCTTTTATTCAAAAACTCGTTAAAATAGGTCAGCATATGTCAGGAATGTGTCTTACTGTAAGTAACTTTTAGGACCTAAATGACAAAAGCATTGTCTCCTGATTAAAAATGTAGATTTTTTAAAAATTTATTTTCAATTAATTACTTTTTAAAAAAAATGCGATTTATAATGCAGTAATGACTGCTTCATCAAACGATTATTATCATTGGATTTAAAGCAACTTCTTTTTATGTTCCGCTTTTAAATAAAAGTTATCTGACAATTAATAAAATATAAATGTGTATAATCTTATTGTTGTTGTTGTTTATTTATGTCGTGATAGACTCCCTCTCTATCATAAAAAAGTCTCCTTCCTTTACATAAATAAACAAACCTTCAGTTAATCGAGTCACGATGTTTATATCCTCCTTGTCTCCGGGTTGGTGCTGTCGGAATCACATATCTCGCGATAATTTGGTTATCTCCTTTAAATTAGAAGAAATGGTACTCTTTTTATTTTGAGTTAAACGTTTTAATATGCCACTATAATGCTTTAAAAAGGCAATGAAAATATAATTGAATCTAAGTAGTGAGTAAAAAGGTGTCTCAAAAGCACCACGAAAGGAGGAGGTAGACTTTGAATGGAACGCGTTCCCGCGAGGTTTCGTTTAGTTTAGTTGAGTAAATGCCACGTCTTATTCTCAGCCACCAGCATCATCAACGTAGGCAGAAATATTGGTAGTTCTGAGCTCAGGACAGACGGTTATCAAGTGGCCGACACTCGGTGATATCTGGCACGATCTGGTAAGATTTTAATCTTTATTTTTTTCTGTTATCATGTTGCATTCAGACATGTTGCTTCTGCTGCAGCAACATGCTAGCAAGTTTAGTAACTAGCTAGCTAGCCAGCTAGCAGACTTTCCTAACAGCTAATTGAAACCTGCGGTCAGTTGTCCTCTTTGAGCGGCTTTTGCTGTTTACTTCGAGATTAAAGTTGATGCTCTCCACAGGGATTATCCACTTTCACCCACCAAACAGTGAGCAAATAAACAATCACAAGAGAAGACAAAGCTAGCTCAATCAAAGTCAGATTACCTTCACTTCATTGTATCGTCACAGCTAAAATGATACGGCTGCAAGCACACATCAGCAGATGCTGGTGCACATACATACACATGCAGCGATGTATTACAGTATTATATCAAAGCAAACCAGCTAAAAGCACAAAAAACACAAGCTACAAAGTTTGCTTTTTGATTTGAAGAGCTTCAGTCTGGAGTCACAGCAGTGGACAGTTGCAACGGCTTTATGCAAACTCTGATGAATTAAGGATAATTCGCTGTTATCTTGATCAGTTCACTGATCAATCGCCACATTTGGTGCGGATCCCATTTCTTACTGGAAATGCGTCCTAAAACGCACGGAATGACATACATAGTCATATATTAATAGGTTAGGCTTATTAAGGCTTATTTTTTGACGTCTCAGATCTTGGCGAATAGCTCGAATCCTGCATTTAAAGAAAGTGCTCGTTTCTGCAGTAACTTGTCTGTACATGCGTAGTTTCTAATTTCCTACCTTGGATGTCACACAAACTGTTCGGGCCAAAGATTGATTCTGACTCATACTCTGTTCTTCTTGTGATTTTTAAACTCACCATGAACAGAACGTGATCCTAAAATATGGCTAGATGTTTACTGATTAAATAAAGATAACATTGAGGAGGACTATGCTCAATAACTTGTTGCACTGTCTGTACATGCGTAGACAGTGCAACAAAGAGTGACTGGGGATTTGTGCTTCAACAGGAAACCTACGTCATAACCACAAACCCCTCTGAACCCTATGCTATAACCTACAACCAAACATGCACCTAACTACACATCGGCTCTACGCAGCACACAACTGTTTTAACTGTCCTGTTGAGTACAGTCAATTCAGTAAGAGAATAACAATCATCATCTCACTATAAGGAATAGGACTAATCATAGCATCAATATAAAGACTCACAAATGTCAGCAAATTCCTGGGGAGAGACTGGTGAAACAAAAGGGAATGTATAAAGAAGTGAAAAAAGCTTAACACAAATATGTTTGCAAGAAATGATCAAAACAAAGGGTGGGCACCCAGAAGGGAAAGAAGTCCCAACATTGTATCTGGTTCTAACAAACCACCATATATAAAACATCAGGACATGACCACAAAGAAATTAACACATAATGCACCAGGCACAAGCATAAATGCCAGTAGAGTTCAGCAACTTACACAAGTTACGTCGTAGGCTCTACAAAGACGGCCTGAGACTAACTGAGAAGCTTTGAGTGTAGATGTAAACATGCCCTCTGAGTTACAGCCATAACTGTATATAAATGAGGAACATAACCATTATTGCATCACCCATTGGTCTTGGATTCTTCTTGTTAAAGGAGCAGGAAGTTACTATATTTGGAGTAGAAGGTGGTAGTTATCAGCTGATGCTAGCTTGGTTACCAAGCTGCATTTTTAAACTGCTTAATATAGATGAGACTAGTAAAGTATTACAATTTCATTGACAATTGTTCAATAAGGCAATAACAACACAAACAGAGTCATGAGGTCCAGTTCAGTGACTCAAAGTGTGGTCCACCCGTGCCTGATCAGCTGCATTTCCCTGTCTGTCAGCAGCCTTAATCTTAAGCCTGAAGAAAATTAAACTGCAGTGTTACAAACAGATTGACCCTCTGTTGTTAAGGATGTGGAAACTGTCCACAGAGGGGAATTTCATAGTTAATTTTGCATCAAACCTTTAAAGATTTCCTTAATGTCATTTGGTTGGACAGTTTAAACTTAGAGTGTGTTTCTTCACCCTCACTTTGGCTTCAGTTTTGATGCTGCTGGGTTTTTATTTATTAGATGTCTTCTTCTCCTTTCTCTACATCCCAGGGTTTTAATATGGGCTGTTTACGTCTGCTGGCATTGACATTGGCAACATCTGCAGTACTATTGTTGGCATCCCCTTTAGCCACTGCTCACAGCCATTCCCATGGTGACCATGGACATACCCACGGCCACCATCACCACCACCACGGCCACTCACACGGCGAGGATGACCACCATGGGCACTCCCATGGCTCTCAGGTGAAGATGTTCCATGGAGCAAGCAAGTGGAGCGCTGAGGCCAACCTGCAGGAAGAGGAGCACGATCACGGCCACGATCACGGACACGATCACGGAAACGATCACGGCCACGATCACGGACACGGCCACGATCACGGACACGATCACGGACACGATCACGGACACGATCACGGACACGGCCACTCTCATGATCACGGACACGATCACGGACATGGGCACTCTCACGATCACGGACATGATCATGCTCATCATGAGAATGTTGTTCGAGTACACAAGGAGGGAGGTGGACACGAGCACTCACACGGAGGGGAGAGGACGAAGAGGGAGGCGGGCAAAGAGAAGAGGAACATGGTGGAGCTCTGGACACAGGTGAGTGACTGCTTGTTTAGGTTCAGCAGTTGGGTTTGAAGACCAATTAATCATAGTGGCATAAACCTGTTTTTCCTGCTGATGATTTGAGTACGTTGATACAATGTTCACATCTCAGTAAAACTCTATAAAGCATGAAGACGAGAAACGTCTGTCTCCAGTAAACCACAGCTTCAAATGTCAGATTCAAAATTTTCTGTGAATAATAAAAATAAATGGGTCATAGCCACAGACTAAGGAAAAGTATATTATTATACTCTTATAAGTCCTTTCGTTAAATACACTTTATTTTTAGTAAAAAAAACAGTTTAGAAAACAATATGAAAATACACAGATTATTTAGATAATTAACAAATGTTCATTTTACCATTTATCATCGCCAGTAATCACATGTATTTAATCAGATTACATTTTGTGTGTGAAGAAGAAACATCAACCTTTTACTGCACTGTAAATTCAGTCATCACAATATGTTTACAAATCAAACAAAATATGTCACTGATTATTTTCTCTGATTATCTCCTTGATGCTTGAAAAGAAAAACATTTGCCATTTTACACAAAACTGTGCAACTGTTCCTAGACTGCAGCTAGGTCTGTCAGAGCGCTCTACACCTTTATTGGCATTACTTCAGATGTGTTGCATGAACAGACAAGAATGTGATAATAAAAAGCAAACTGCACTCTTTCCACAAATGGCAATCCACCGCTCCCAGCACAACATCAAAGCTCTTCAAAACATCATGCTAACCTTTGTTATACACTTTTATGATACCATCACAAAGCTGGTAGGGAGATACACAGTATGATGCTCAAGCCAAGTGTCAATCCCAACCAAGCAGCAAAGGCTTCATAAGTGAAATTGCTTTTTAAAGCCTTAGTTTGTAGTGAGAGGTCTGTTATTGCAAGCTGTTGATCATGGTTTACATTCTTTTGAAATTATTGTTGTGCAGCAAAACAGCAGGATTCTTGAGACAAAATCTGACTCGTTATGATCTCATAACGAATTGAATTGTGGAGTTTTGCACAACTGGGTGATATCTGTATGCAACTTATTGTGTGCCTTTATCTGTATCTTCTCTAAAGAGTTTCCCTGGCTCTCGTTTGTTTCTTATTTTGAGGAACTTGAATGCGCTGTCTGTTCCCTGAATGACTCACAGCCTTGCAGTGGTGCATTGTTACTACTGAAGAACAAAGTTGGAGTTATAGTCGGCATCCAAATGGCTCCTTGGTGCTGTATCTGTCTGAGCCAGAAGCTCTTTAGTTTTGTTTTCCAGTCATCAGCTCTGTGCTGACTGATCCGAAAACCTCAGAATATTATATTTGTATCCTTTCCTTTTTTTTCCTCTCCTAGTTTATATATTTTCCTTCATGTTTCTTCTTTGGTGAGTTAAGGATTATCTTTCACATGAATACAAAGCATTTGAAATTTAAACTCCCTCCTTCATCTTTGTCTGCAGGCTATCGGAGCCACTCTGCTCATTAGTGCAGCTCCCTTCCTCATCCTGTTTCTGATCCCAGTTCAGTCCAACAGCGACCAGCACCAGAATCTACTCAAAGTGCTGCTGAGCTTCGCATCTGGTGGATTGCTGGGTGACGCCTTCCTCCACCTCATACCACATGCTCTGGGTGAGTACGAGTTCCATTCTCATTTCCTTTTTCTTTTCTTTTTTTTTTTACTGTAAGTTTATGTAAGTGAAGGTTTTAAGTATTTATAAAGTGTTTCAAATATGCTCACTTTAATCACAAAGATCGTATGACAGAGACATAAGTTTCTAATTGATTACAGTGATATTCAGTCCAGTGATTTTGCACGTCGGGCACTGAAAAAGTAAACGCATATATACAGCGAGAGATGTTGCAACAGTTAGAAAATATGACACTTTGTGGAAAAAAGTAAGGTTGTAGTCGGGCAAAGTCTTTGCGTCTGGTTTTGACTTCTTCTCTTCCTGTATCAGCACTTATGTGGTGTTATTGTCCAAGTGGCGACACCCGTCGTTCAGGAGAATACTGCAGCGGCTAAATAGAAGTGACTGCGTGATGATGTTGCGGCGGCGTGCTACGCGACCCATGCGGAGGGTATACTGGTGCCTTTACAGCTTTGGCACTCCTGTCAAAGCCATAATTGCCTGTGATGGTAAAATGAGCAGCTCGGTGTCTCTGTTGGTTTTAACTTTTAGATTTGTTAAACAGCTGAGAGAGAAAAACAGAGCAGCACGATCCTCACTTTGTCTTTCTGACGTCTCCTCGTGTCATATTTGTTTTGCACAGAGCCCCACTCACATCACGAAGATGGGGATCATGGACACTCGCATGCAACTGAAGAGTCGCATGACCACGGCCACTCTCACGGTATGCATTAATGGGATTTCCTTTTTTTAATGTTGCCAGTGTGTTGTCTGGTTATTTGCCGGTGATTTTAAAAGAAAAAGTTTCTAAAGCCAAGCAGAGCTCATGAAGCAGTGCTCCCTATTCCCTACCTGTATAGGAGCGGCCCACGGTCATATGATGTCTGTGGGTCTTTGGGTTCTCGGTGGGATCATCGCTTTCCTAGTGGTGGAAAAATTTGTGCGTCTGCTGAAGGGAGGACATGGACACGGACACTCCCATGGACACTCTCACGGTACGCTGGAGGAAACTCTTCTTTTGATCAAACTCTTTTAAATTGCCCTGAAAGATCAGTTGTGTACAAAACCAGATTCCTGCATGTAGTAAATGTTATTTTGTTGCTGTTTTCATTTCAGAAGTTTTTTGTAAAACTGCATGTTCACTAGATTTCCCAGCTATATTCTCTGTAGGTGTTTTGAACTTTGTTCTGTGTGGCTTTTTCAGTTGCTGCCAAAGAGAAGGACAGTGATGGAGAGGAGGAAAAAGAAAAGAAGAAGAAGGAGAAGAAAGAAAGCAAAGATCAGAAACCATCAAAGAAAGAGGAGAAAAAGAGTACAGGTGAAGCACTGAAGTGTAGTTACTGTGCTGAAGCAACTGATTTCAAACAGAATTTGAACCTGCACACACCCACACTTCTTTGAGCTTCTTAAAAATGCCGCTGCAGGACGTTCACTGATAGAGCCTGGTCACTGTGTACGTCAGCCTGTGTGTGGCTTATTTTTACGAGTCATAACTACACAATAGTGGTAGTAAAAATGACATTTTCTACTGTTTATTCCCACTGCTGCCATCTTGGATTGTAAAGTTGGGTTGTGGTATGGCTGCTCTGACTTTTTAAGGGGGAAAATCCCCTTTGGCGAACTCTGAATTTCCAAATTCCCACTTCAGATGGAACTGGGATAGAATTAACGTGGCGCAGAGGTTGGATTCTTGATTGTCTGGAATCTGCAAAAATTTGCAGTTGAGGATAAAACAGAACATGTTCACATGTGAGATGGTGAACAGACTGGTACCAGGCAGTCTCCCATTCAAGTACCAACCAGGCCCGACCCTGCTTAGCTTCAGAGATCAGCTGTGTGTAACACAAAACAGAACCAAGCTGCAAACATGTTTTCTTGGTCTTTCAAAATCTGTTTGGAATCAAGTTTTTAATGTGTGTGTCAGAGGAAAGAATGTTCACATTTTCCTTGGGTTGTTCTTATTTATGGTTTTTTTTTTTTGTGGGAATCTTGAAACATAAAAAGCTCATTGTTTGCATCAATCCATGAGCCACTAAACACTTTACATATTCTTCGGGTCTTTACTGTTCCTTCCACTAATGCAGATATCAAGGTGTCTGGTTACCTAAACCTGGCAGCTGACTTCACACATAATTTCACTGATGGTTTGGCAATTGGAGCTTCATTCCTGGTTGGTCCAGCTGTGGGCACCGTCACCACCATCACCATCCTGCTTCATGAGGTCCCACATGAGATCGGAGACTTTGCCATCCTCGTCCAGTCTGGCTGCACCAAGAGGAAGGTAACCACCAAATATGAAAAAGCTGCAAAAAGTCTCAAAGTCGTTGACACAGTGTACACACACACTTGTCAGTATACTTAACAAAGTATAAACAAGCAGAAAACAACAACTACATACAAGGAGGAATTAATAAGAACTATTCAAACAAAGACAGCCTGTCTACATGCAGTTTTCTAATTAAACTGTAAAGCGTGTTCACCAGGAAATGGTTATCCACCCACATACTGACACATCTTGTCTCGTGGTCAGTTTAGTCTCTAAATGACAACCCAAACAGCATCCAAGGTCATTAAATATGTAAAGCCACTGCTCCACCTTCCCCATAAAACACAGTGGAAAACCTGCTGTGGTTTGGCTGGCAACTGTGCTTTTGAACCATGAAACTCTTGAATTTTAGTATAGAGGCCAAAAAGTCCTTGGATTTCTGTGCACAGTTCTCAGCGCGCTTTTAACTGAGTGAAACTGTAAAACTCCATAGTGGTGCTGAAAATGGAGAGAATAGACGAATCCTTCAATTGTCACACAGGGGTAAATTTGGTTGTATCAGCAGTAAAAAACAAAAAAAACCAAACCACATACACAAACAGAACAAGACACGGAACAGAAACACACACAATTTTTACATATTTACATCATGGACAATAGTTACCAAAGCAGAGTACTGTACAGGTATTAAAATTAGAGTACAGATAAGGACAAAAAGTAGTAAACAAGCCAAACAAATATTTTTGGTACAAATTCACCCTGACTGTGTGATGCTGCTGTGCTCTTTGCTGATATGTACAGGGAAGCTGCTTTGGTCCACACATGCAAAACAAGCTTCCTCTTGCACTTTTCTTTCACAATAAAAGCCCTTGATATATGCACAGTATGACAGCTGTACTCTTGGAATATATGCAACATATTTAAAGCTAATTGTAA